CTCAGTCTCATATTAGAGAAAGTCGGCCAGTGATGTCGAGTGGCCTCCTCTATCGAGATATCGCCGATGACACAGCAGGAGGTCGACCCATGAACCGTTGAGGGCGAGGTGAACCCCTTGCAGCATGTTCCAGCATGTTGCGCACAAGGGCGAGACAAAATTCTCTGTGTGACAATTTCGCGCCACAGGATGACAACAGGATGAAACTATTCAGAATCGTCAGATCCAGGAGATGGAAAAATAGCTTATTTGTCCTTTTCCAGGTCCAATGACTGATGCTATAACTGTTTGCCATTCTGTCCACTTTGTCGACATAACCATGAGTGTGTTGCAGTCAACAGCAATTGCTGGCTTGATGGCATTTCCATGCTCATCACAGAAACTGCCTTCTGCTGGAGGACAGTGCATATTTGTCAGTATGTAAACGTCACATTTGTGCTTCCAAACTAGTGCTGTCAAGTTTTGTCTCACCCTAACACGAATGTCACCTTTCTTCAGTCAAAATTGTCTTCGTCAAAAATCATCAGGCAAGGCCTTCCGATTAGGTCTGACTGTCCCACAGCAAGTTATGTCCTTTGTCATCAGTTTGTCAAACAAGTCTGGTGATGAAAAGAAATTGTCCATGTACAGTTTCTGACCTACACCCTCAATATGTCTGCATAGGTCCCTAACTGTAGCATGTGTTGCCGTCACGTCTTGGTCGGCACGTGTCCTGTGTTTTCCTAGGTAAACCTTCATGTCATAAGTATACCCAGCGATGTCACAAATTTTGAAGATTTTGATTCCGACACGTTTGTGTTTCTTAGGAATGTACTGCCTAAAACCCACCCTCCCTTTGAATTTAACAATTATCTCATCTATGGCCAAATGTTTGGAAGGGTTATAATATTTTTTGTATGCGTCATTGAGAGTGTCGAAGATGGTCCGAATTTTCCATAGTCGGTCATAACTGTCAGCATTTCTGTCAGTTTCTGTATTGTTGTCTGCAAAATGAAGAAAACAAAGAATGTGTAGAAAACAGTCGTGTTTCATTGTGTTACAGTAGAAAGGCGTGGCAAATTGTTCTACAGTCAACCAGTAGTCCTTTAGTCTGTCTCTAGTGTCATGTCTCATTTAAATGATTATTCCTAGAAACAGAAACATTTTGGAAACAGTCACGTCAGGCCACGGAGAAGGTCCGTCTTGAAGTCTGTCTAGGTACTGGTGGTAGTACCTGTTCGTCTCTTCCACCAGCAGATGGATAATCCCTGCGAAGTAGAGCATGAAAACGCAGAAAGGGGTGGAATCCTTATTTACGTGTGGAGCTTCATTGATATTTAACTCCACAGCTCCACCGGAATAATTATTCACACCCCTCCTGTCATGCTGGTCTGGTGGTCCCCAGGTTGCCGACAAAGATGATGGGTCTTCGTCAACTTCGGTTTCTGAGCCCCTTGCTTCCTCGCCACTCTCAAGAGTCGTCTGTATGGCAGTCTGAATTGGTGTCATTTATCAGCTACCTCTCAATTTCAGCTTCTTCCATGCAAAATGAGGCCATGGTGGATAGCTGAAATTGCGATGTTTTATAAGCGTTATGAACATAATGTGCTAGGCTTGAACGTTCTGACAATGCGGGGCTATTCCAAGAACAGTACCTCTGTGTGCCTAGTCCAAGATATACACAGTCAGAGTTTCTGAAGGACAAGGTACAATATGACTTCGACCACACTCATGGATACAGAAAGGTTCCGACTTGACTGGAGAATGTGCAATACAAACATAAACTTCCACCCCTTTTGCCAGATAAGACATAGTAAGACAGGATGTCAGCAGCATGCATTTATACTGCAGAAACTGTATGCATATTTGTGGACAGATGCTCAAAATTGGGAAAAAAATTCTTTTTGGAATCAGTGTAACAATTTTTACAGATTTTAAAATCTGTAAATGACAATATCCAATTCTATATTCTTTCTAGATAAAAGCAGCGTTTATTTCGTTCATCACAAAAATTGTAGAAATCACAGCATTTTCAGTAACATACTTACAATTTTTAATACTCTACAATGGCGGGCATTTAAAATAACTCCGGCCTCCTGCCATTACCGGAATTTGAATGGCCTGTCTCTTAAAGGTTAAATATAATATTATTTACGTATCTGGGGTTTCCATGACCAATTTGAATGGCCTGTCTCTTAAAGATTAAATATAATATTATTTACGTATCTGGGGTTTCCATGACCAATAAGACGGGGTTTGGATTTGGCAATGGAATTTATTGGACCCTTATATAACTGGTTACAACAGCTCACAAATCACTATCTGACATAATGTCAACTTCCAACTGGATACTCCGTGGGAACTAGTGTGACTTCCAATTGAACTGTACTGTCAATTATTGTTCACTTCCTGTTATATAGCCTCAGGATGGACCACAGCACAGAAAACACATCCACTGCCTAGCAATGGATGTATGTGAACGACACAGAAAACACCTCTTGCGACACCAGTTCTACTGTTGTGGGCGCTGCCTAGAAATGGCTCTACTCTATTGTTGGTTGCGTATTTGTTGCAGGCTTGTTAACTGAGTCATTCTCGAAGAATGGGTCTACATATCACATTATTTTGATATTTCATCTTGGAATAAGTAATTATTTAACTACATGAAGTCTATCAGTTACAGGATAGATTCAATATGTTGGTAAAGTAAACTGTGTACTCCAAAAATCTCATTTGTTTTGCATTGTTACTTTATTACTCTTGTGCTGATCGAGTGGTAAAAGTCTACAGTCTTATCTTTTCTTCTTTCAGCCTTTCCTCCTCAGTTTCTTGTCAGCTCAATTTTAAAGCATCCAATGACATCCAATGTCAGCCTGTGACACCATCACCAGATCTGCACAGCTGTCATTTTCAGGGCTCCTCTTGGGGCTTCTCATCTTCCACAGCAGCACTGTGTATCAACACAACAGGAAGTCTGCTGCTTGATGCTAACCCCTCCTTCAGGACAAACACTGATGTCAGACTATGGGAGGATTTAATATACAGGGTGTCCCAGGAGGAATGTGCCANTTAGCCAGCTACAGACAGAGCGCTCTCGTTACCTCGACACTTGAGATGTACCTAAGGCGGGGAGGGTTGGTATGTCCAGCGCGGTTCAAAACC